TCTGATGACATGTATTATAACTATACTACTGTTTCTTGTTTGTTCTTTAGTTTGCGTTGCAGAGCAGTCAGAGTTGATTTGTTCACATCAACCAATCGTAGCCCTGGCTGGTGATGATGTCATTCTACCATGTTACCTTGATCCTCCAATCAGTGCCAGTTCTGAGACAGTGGTGTGGACCAGACCTGGTTTAGACCCAGAGTACATCCATTTTCACCAAGATGGACGACTGATGCATCGAATTCAAAATCCATCTTATTTTCTCAGAACAAGACTGTTTGTGGATGAACTGCAGAATGGAAACGTCTCCATGAAAATCTTCAGAGTGAAAATCTCTGATGCAGGAAAATACTTTTGCATCCTTGAACCAATGTTGAAGAAAGCTTCCATCCAACTCACTGTTGGTAAGTCAGACTTTCTGAAGATGATGAATTACACATTTCTGCTGACTGCAAAGATCAGTAATGTAACTTTATATTAGAAGTAAGCAGCCATGATAAGACACAAAGAAAACAGTGCTGTAAGTTATTTGTTGGATCTGAATCCACTGTTTGAAATTCCTCCTCTCTTCTCATCAGGTGTCGTCTCCACTCCCATCATAGAGGTTGTCTCCAATAACAGTGGAAGAGTAGTTTTACAGTGTGAGTCTAAAGGCTGGTATCCAGAGCCTGAGGTGGTCTGGCTGGACGGTGAGGGAAACCTCCTCTCTGCTGGACCTACAGAGACAGTCAGAGGTCCTGATGACCTCTATACTGTCAGCAGCAGAGTGACTGTGGAGAAGAGACACAGCAACAACTTCACCTGTAGAGTCCAACAGAAGGACATCAACAAGACCAGAGAGACACACATCTATGTTCAAGGTTATAAAGAGCTCTAAATATATAAACATATTGTCACTGTTGAGCTCTAGTTTGATTCAATAATGTCATTCTGTTCTCTCTTCTATCTTTTCAGATGTTTCATTCACAGTTCAGTCGTCTTCTGATCGGATTCGGATCATCATCATTCTTCCTGTTTGCATTATTGTGCTGTTCATCATTACCACTCTGATAATATGTAAGTCACATATTTATTTTCCTTTTTATTCCAAGTTCCTGTCAGAGCTCTTTATTGACATACATACAGGCATAACAACATTAACTAAGCAAACAGTCTGAAATGATCTTCACTGCAGGAAATTTGAGGAAAATTGAAGAAATCTAAGAAAATGTGTTGCTTTCAAATCTAAGGCAAAAACGCAAAAACACTGTTCTTCTTCTGTTGGCTCACAGGCACAAAGAGGAACCAGAAGAATGAAACTGAACAGGAAGAGGAAGAAGGTCAACAGCAGGATGTAAAAACTACAGAGTTTCTGACCCAAATAAACACTGAAGACGAGAGACAGAAGACACTTGAAAACACAGAGAGATGCAGCGTTCAACGACGTCGACTAAAGCGTTCCTCTAGTGATGGAGAACTAGGAGCTCGTAGAGAATTAGAGTTGAGGAAATCATTGTGACACTGGAACATATTCTCCATCTTTTCCTGCTCTACCCGGGCAGGCGGCTGTCAGAGCTCAGACGTAGAGCGGGTCGTCCACTAATCAGAAGGTTGGAGAGAGAGAGAGAGAGAGAGAGAGAGAGAGAGAGAGAGAGAGAACTACTGAAGGTGACAAATCAATATCTTGTCATACATATTGAGTACACACAGTTTCTGTTTGCCAGTATTTTCTTGTTGTTGTTTATCTCCTCATTGTATTAATGAACATTATTATTGACTGAATGTATTCTGAGAGAGACATTGCAAATTACACTGTCATTATGGTGAGATACTATATAATGACATATACTACATATTATATATAGAATATATATAACTATACTAATAATAACAACTACTGAAATATAATGTTTAAATATAAATATTTGTTTACTATATTTTATTGTTGTTGTTATTCTGACTGATCTCAGTATTGCTAGTTCCATTAGTTTAGTCGTATACTTTGTACATCCGTTTATACTTGATTAATAAAATACTTAATAACCTTTACTGATGTGTTTATTTTAAAGTAATAATTCTTACAGCATTATTGTTCAAGAATAACTACAAAACGATATGATGATAGAAACATGAATCAGGTTCAACTCTAACTGGAGAGATCTTCTGTATAACATTCAAAATGTGTCTTTTAAATGTACTAAAGTGTTTTGATGCCCTGATGATCCACAGAGGGAGAAGCTCTTGAACTGTAGGTTCAGTGTCCTCAACCTGGCAACCCAGGTGAGCTTCTAGTGTGGGGAGGAGAGATTGGGGGGAGACAACCTCCTACGATGTTTTACATTTGGACTGCAGTACCCATTTTAAACACTTGCTGTCAGTCTTATTGCTCCTTTAATGATGTTGGTGTCCAGTCTGAGATATGAGGGCTGACTGAAGATTCCTGCTTTAATTTCATGTAAGAGAAGATAAGATAGACTTTATTGATCCCACACTGGAAACTCACTTGTTACAGCAGCTGCAGATAAAACTCAGCAGATGATAAAGAAGATATATAAACATTAAATAAGCAATTAAAATAAAATGAAAACAATAGAATTAATTAATTATTGTGTAAATGTATGTATGTAGTGTATCAATGTTTCCACTTTAGCACTTTAAACTGTTTTATTTGTCCTACGAGTTAAAATGTCAAAGTTCTTTAATAATTCAATGAAAAAAAGCTTTATTGCTGAAAACATCATGAATGATGTCTGATTGGATTTGATCAGGTGTTCATCCTCCAGGAGACACAGTCAGTCTGTTCTTCATGTCTGCAGTTAACTGCTTCATCCTCTATCAGCAGCTCTCCTCTTCCTCTGCAGGAATATGTCTCCTTATGAACAGCCACAAGAGGGCGCAACAGGCTTTCTGACAGACACACAACTAAACACTCAACAGTGTTTACTTTATACCTCAGTCTGTATAAATGAGCTGACTGGTGCATTCAAATAGTTAAAGTGTGGGAGACCAAACCTCCCTCTGTTTAAGCCCTGATGAGGGTTGAATCAATGAAAGGTCCAGTGTGTAACATTGAGGAGGATCTACTGGCACAGATGGAAGATAATAACTATGTTTTCATTAGAGTATAATCACCTGAAAATAAGAATCAAACCAACATTCAGGCTCTAAAATACAGGAGGTTTTTAATAGTGTCCATATTAAAGGCATGGTCACTATCCTGGTGTGTTTGTGTGTGTTTAGATATTTTAGGTGAAACGTCATCCTGCTCTGACATTTTTACAACCACTGAATCTGGTTGTGTGTTTCCAGTTTGTGACGACTGACAGTTGTTTTTTATTGTATATTGTGTTGATAGAGTGCACATTATTTCATAGACGATGTGGCAACTTGGGTGACGTCTGACAAACATACAATATCTACGGATCTGTGTACGGCGATTATTGATAATAAAGTGTGAGGGACGTACAAATTACTGGAGTTTCCTGGGAGAGACAATGAAACAGGAGGGTGCCGGGAGATGGACTTGAAATACGGGAGTTTTAGGCTTAAAAGCAGAAAGACAACATTGTTCATGGAGCCTAAAACTCTAAAGGCCACAACATCTCAACTGTTAGTTAATAGTCATAAAACTTGTTATCTGACTCAAGTGCAGGAATCAAAGTACCAATTGTTTTATTATAGGCTGTCTTTGTTTAATTCAGACTTTGATCGTGCAGCTACTTTCCTGAGTTAAGGCTCCTTCACTCACTCAACAGGTATGTAGGATTTTTACATGAAACACTTAATAATATATTATATTAGTGATTTCTTTCACATGCCATTATTGTATTTATTTATAGTGTGTTTCTGGATTAAAAGTCAAACTGTCAACAGTCTTTTTATGCAATGTTTTTCTTTAGGTCTTTTCCTTATATTACCTAAATTGAGGGTCTAAGGGAGGACTGCTAAAATAAAACTTAATGATGATCAACAGGTTGAAAGCAAACACCCGTTGTATTGTGTTATAAGATAGAAAATGGTAACAGAAAGTTCCCTTAACCGACTTTCTGTGCAGTGTCACTCCACTCTGCCCGCTGGGACACAAGAAATAAAACAGCATGCTATTTGTATTATCTATTTGTGTTATTGACTAGAAATATCTGGTGAGGAAAATCAAACCTTATAGCGTTCCAACTTTGAGCAGCTCTCTGAGGCAGGTTGTGATTTTGGGCTTTATAAATAAAATCTGTCTTAAAATTCTAAAGAAGAAAAATAGTATCAATCAGCATTTTCTGTGATGTTATTTAAAGTTCATGTGGAGAATAATACATGTCAGTAAGTCGTGTTTCATTCCACAAAGAAGTTTTGTATTATTACTGTGAACTGGTGATGATATCAGTGGTTTCATGTATTTACAGCTGTGGCTGTTAACTCAGTGTGTCTGTAGTCAGACATATGAACACACAAACTGTGTTTTAGGCTTAAAAGCAGAAAGAAAACATTGTTCATGAAGCCTCAAACTCTAAACAAGACCTAAACTGTAAGTTAATATGAAGTCATAAAACTTGTTATCTGACTCAAGTGCAGGAATCAAAGTACCAATTGTTTTATTATAGGCTGTCTTTGTGTTTATTCCAGACTTTGACCGTGCAGCTTCCTCCCTGATTTGAGGCTCATTCACTCACTCAACAGGTATGTAGGATTTTTACATCAAACACTTAATAATACATTATATTAGTGATTTATTTCACATGCCATTATTGTAATTATTTATAGTGTGTTTCTGGATTAAAAGTCAAACAGTCTTTTTCTGCAGTATTATTTCATTCATGTGGCTACAGTAGTGAACGCTGTGGTAATCTGGGACCAATCAGCATTTTACTTTGTATTCACACATATCCAACCTGCTTTCCTCTTGTCTTAACTACAATGTTCAACTCTGTTTTATTTGGTACTAATAAAACATTCAATCACATTGTTCAGGAGTTTATATGAACAGTAAAACCACCACTGTGTTCAACAAAGGTCTGAATCATTACACTGAAACCAAAGAGATAAGATATACCTTTTATTAATCCCCATAGGAGAAATTTAAAGTTACACACAGCAGCATTTAACACTCATTCATTGATTAGACAAAAATACATGAACACAACAACTTCAACACTTTCCTTCTTCTGTTGGCTCACAGGTACAATATGGCACCATGGTGTGAAAGAGGAACTGTTAATGGTCAAAGGAAAGCCAAAAGTCCAGAAGCATAATGTAAATGTGAATGCAGCTCAACTCCAGCTCTTAGTGGAGGGAAAGCAGCAACAAGAGGACCAGAGAGAGCAACTGGACAGAGTTCAGAGATCACAGACAGAGGAAACATCAGCAGCAGGAAATAACACTGAAGACACTTTAAAACACAGAGAGACGCAGCGTTGAACGACGTGGACTAAAAACCTCCTGTAGTGACCGAGAACGAGGAGGAAATCATTGTGACACTGGAGGATATTCTCCATCTTTTCCTGCTCTACCATCACACTGACAGAGAATGATGATGTTTTTGTCTTCCTAGTGTTGCATGTTTTGCAATAGAAAAGTAATCTGGTTTTAACCCTTTAGGTGCCGGGTTTTATTTTTAAAAATACTAGATTTTGACATCTAAATTTCAGAAGGCTCTGGCTTGAAAGTGGTTTGAGATAGAGACAAAGTGTAAACGAGACAAATATTGAGAATGACCTAAAGTTTATCTAGGGAGTAAATTTCCCCATCTAATTTGCATATTATGACGTCATATGGCGACGTCCATATTGGATTATATAATTTCCATGAAATACCTGATATTTTGAAAGAGAGTTGAACTTATTTCATCAGATTCACCCCCCCTCCATCCATTTGTTGTGTTGTACACATATCAAATGAACAGGGAAAAGTAAATTGTAAGCCAAAAGTCGTAAACTAGAACTATTACTACCACAAAGCTCATGTAAACAGTAGGCATTTTTTATGATTTTTTACCCACTACCACCCCCCCTATTGGAGGACACTTTTTCTTTCCTTTTTTATTCTCTTCTTCATTATTATTATTATTATTAACAGTAGGCGTCTTTTAGCTGCAGAGGCCTAATCCCAAAGCCCATCCAGATAAAAGTTTGTAGTATTTGTAGTATAGTGTGGAACCTCTCATTGCAAGGCACAGTACTGAGACAATATGAACAATATTGAGACCCCACCACATAGCCTAACAAATGGACAGGCACACTGCCGCATCGGATGGCTGCGCCACTGCCGCACATGGACGTACCGTGACTGGCGCGGTAGAAAGAGTGAACACTAACGCTGGTCCCAGCGCTATTCTCACCACCTCCGCTACTTCTATCCCGCTCACTAAACGACCGGCCGTCATCTCCCAAAGGTAGATTTTCCCCTCCAGAACCAGAGTCAGCGAATAGGAGAGCCATCACTTCCCTAAGCGTCAACTTTTTGCTTGCCATTTTCGTTTATTTCGCCTCAATCACTCCTAAATCCAGCAATACCACTTCAGCATAAATAGCGCCCTGGCGGTTTTTTTTTCCGGTTTCTCACCCAACAGTTTGGACGGGACTTCCTCAAACATTTTAAGAATAATAGTCTCTTCTCCTTGGTGCTCGGTAGATTCAGGTTTCAGCTGGTTGCAGTCTGAAACTTCACCACTAGAGGTCACTAATTCCTGCACACTGGTCCTTTAACTTTGTTTATTCTCAGATTAGTTCAGGCCTCCCACCTGATACCTTTATCCTTTTGGTGGGTCGGTCTCAGTCTTAATGATTCTCTTAACCCCTGTACTCGTTGTCCATTTTTGTCCTGCAGACGAGAATAAAACTGTAAACTTTCACTAACTCTGTTTTTATTTGTTACCATGTGTCTCAAAGCTGTTTCTGTCCCCCTCTGTTTGTAGCTCTCTCTCTTTCTGTCCTCTTCCAGGTCTCCATGGTGGAGAGGAGGTCATATGGCTCGAGTTGTTCAATGTCCTCCTGGATCCACATTCTTCACTTACATTTTATATTCATCAGAGATTCTGACATCAAAGTTTGAATCTAAAGTGATTGTGTTTGTTCTGTACAGTCGACATCTATTGTATGTCTGTCCATTCTGGGAGAAGGATCCCTCCTCTGTTACTCCTCCTGAGATTGCTTCCACTTTCAGAATGATGATGTTGTTGTGAGCCTAGTTTACAACTTTGTTTTCACTGTTACAGCCATAAAGCGTGGGTGGTTGTGGTGTTTCTTTCTCTTTCACTCTCGCTCTCTCTCTCTCTCTCTCTATGCAGGTACTGACCTCCCTCTCTCTAACAGGTAGGTGTGTGCAGCTGACTCCAGTTACTAATATGAGCTGGGTCTGTATAAACTGGGACCAGAGTTGCAGCTGTGTGCCAGTGGGTCGTCCGGCAGTGTCCACGCTGTGTGTCAGAGACGAGAGCTGTGTTCAGATGAAAGCGGTCCTCCCTGATAGTAGGTCTGTGTGATTGATTTTGTTAAGTTTGGGTTAAATGAGTTAAATCTGTAGTTACACAGAATCTGCTTCTCCTTAGTGTTTTTAAAAGGAAAGCTAGTTTTCAGTTTGCATTTTCCTTCATATTGAAAGTATTGTTTCTGTTTAATCTGGTAATAAAATCCCGGTTTGGATTGAAACAAACTTTCTTTGGGTAAATTTAACTATTAAATTTAATTGTGTTACTCCCCACAACCCCTAGACAATTCAGGGAGGTACCATTCAGTCTATGTGAGCAGGTGTTGTCTTTGAGCCAGTGAAAAGGCTGCAGACACACAGTGAAGAAGGGAGATCTTAATGATGTTGGTGTCCAGTCTAAGATATGAGCTGTGACTGAAGATTCCTGCTTTCATTTCATGGATTGTATCAAAGTTCCCACTTTAGCACTTTAAAAGAATCTGAACTGTTTTGTAAAATGTCAACAGGTTGTGTACAAAAGGCTGTGACTGTGTTTAATATTCATTATTATCATCATCATCCATTCTCATCTGTTTAAACACAGAACTGTTCACTGTATTGTAGTTACAGTAGTGACATTAAGACTTTAAGACAATTACTGTGAGATCATGAAATATTAACATGAAATTTAATAACCTCAGAAATCCAAGAGGACTTCAGTGTGTGTAAATATACCTGTATTGTGTTATAAAATGCAAAATAGTAACAGGAAGTTCCCTTAACTGACTTTCTGCTCACTGCACTCTGCCCGAAGTGTTCAGATTATGAAAAAATATTCATAATTATGGATCTAACATATATAACCTCACAAGAAATAAAACAGCATGAAAAGTCTGTCTGTCTGTCTGTCTCTCGCTCTCTCTGCCTCTCCCTCTCGCTCTCTCTCTCTCTGCCTCTCCCTCTCGCTCTCTCTCTCTCTCTCTCTCTCTCTCTCTCTCTCTCTCTCTCTCTCTCTCTCTCTCTCTCTCTCTCTCTCACCCCAACTGGTCGAGACAGACGACCACCCACCTAGAGCCGGAGGATCTGTCCTAGGTTTCTGCCTTTTAACAGGCAGTTTTTCCTTGCCCTTGTCGCCAAGTGCTTGCTCATGGTGGTACTGTTGGGTCTCTGTAATTAATGTTAAAGAGTTCGGTCTAGACCTGCTTTATTTGAAAAGTGTCCTGAGATAACTTCTGTTATGAATTGGCGCTATACAAATAAAATTGAATTGAATTGAATTGAAAAGTTTTAATTTAAAAAAATAATAATTTCATTTATTATTTAATTGTTAAATATCAGGCAGGGAAAATCAAATCTTATAGCAGTCCAACTATGAGCAGCTCTCTAAGGGAAATTGTAATTTTGGGCTTTATAAATAAAATTTGACTTAAATTTCCAGAGAAGAAAAATAAGCCTAATCAGCATTTTCTGTAACTGTAAAGTAATATGAAGTCCTAAAACATGTGATCTGACTTAAGAGTCAAAGTACACATTGTTTCATAGGCTGTCTTTGTATTTATTCCAGACTTTAACCATGCAGCTACCTCTCTGAGTTGAGGCTCCTTGACACTCTCATTCAACAGGTATGTAGGATTGTTGCATGAAACACTTAATAATACATTATATTATATTTTTGACTAGAAACTAACTAACTAACTAAAGTTCTCAGTTAAAGTAACATGAACACATAAGAACTAAAGAATAAGACAACCTCCTCTTACCAGAACTGCTGGCACATGCACCAATCAAAGCCTTTAAATCAGGAGTGATCAGGTGAACTCAGTCCGGTTAATGTGGAGTGATAACGAGAGCCAATCAGTGATCAGGTCAAGAAAAGGAAAATAAAAGTTCATGACAAAGATGTTTTGTATTATAACTGTGAACTGGTGATGATAAAAAGACCTCAAAGTAAATATGAAGTCATAAAACTTCTTATCTGAGTGCAGGAATCAATGTACACATTGTTTTATTCCAGACTTTGACCGTGCAGCTTCCTCCCTGATTTGAGGCTCCTTCACTCACTCAACAGGTATGTAGGATTGTCTTAACTACAATGTTCAACTCTGTTTTATTTGGTACTAATAAAACATTCAATCACATTGTTCAGGAGTTTATATGAACAGTAAAACCACCACTGTGTTCAACAAAGGTCTGAATCATTACACTGACTACACTGTGTATTTAAGAGTGAATTGATTTATTCTCATTTTCAGAACTCCAGGATGATTCACATGAAGGACAGACTGATCCTAAAACCTGAGCTCAGTGCTATGGTATGTAAAGTGTTATAGTTATTTTTATGCTTTTGTACTTCAGAAGTCATTGATGAAGTACTCTGACTTACTGTAACAACATTACATTCATTGACCCATAACGTGGGACATAACACTCACCTCGTGTCTGCGGTTTCAGATGAAAGTCAAAGAAAAACAAAGGAAGAGAGACAGTGAAACCAAAGAGATAAGACATACCTTTTATTAACCCCCATAGGAGAAATTTAAAGTTACACACAGCAGCATTGGGGAATATAGTGCAATAAAGAGTACAGTGTACAACTTAAATCTTATCACAGATAAGAATATTACAAATTATAATAGAAATATAAAATATAACTGGAAAATATAACCCCACCACCGAGCTGGCCTTCCTCACCAGTTTGCTCAGCTTGTTGGCACCCCTAGTCATAATGTCTCCTTCCCAGCAAACCACAGCAAAGAAGATAACACTGGCCACTACAGACTGGTAGAACATCTGTAGTAGCCGAGTGCACACGTTGAAGGACCTGAACCTCCTCAGAAACTAAAATTAACTGCAGAGTTTCTACCCTGTTCAACCTCATTTTCCACTAAAGACATTTGTTTTATTTTAGTAATTTTAAACAACCAGACTAAATCCTATTTTTATTTTCAGAAGTCTATAATGCTGTCCAGTGATGGACTGTCCTTCATCGGTGTTTTAATGTGTCTGATACTGACCTTTGAAGGTAATTTCCACACAAAACACTCCAGTAACACATTGATACAATCATTACAGTCTACAGTCACACTGGTTGATCTGTGAGGGTTTGACCATAATGCTAATGCTAACATGCTCACAATGATAATGATTTGTAGCAGGTAGAACTTGTCCATCATCTTAGTTCAGCATGTTAACATGCTTTTTAAATATTTGGTCATAAAGTATTGGACAAACTGAAAGTTTGACCTTTCAGAGACTCTGGAGGAAAAGTCAGAGGAATTCATTCTCTGGGAACCAGGAATATTTCTACAAGATATAATGGGAACTAAACAAAGTGACAGACTGATGATCATCATTGCCCCTAAAAACTCCAGTAAATGTAAATTTCTTTACAGAGAGTCAGCTGCTGTTTATATTCTCACTGCTGATGCTGTCAGATACAGACTCTGAGGCTCCAGCGGTCGATTGTCTTTGTTTTTGATGCAGTTTTATTAAATGTTTTCTTACTTTTAGAAAGTAAAAATGAATCCATTCAGTCTGATGACATGTATTATAACTATACTACTGTTTCTTGTTTGTTCTTTAGTTTGTGTTGCAGAGCAGTCAGAGTTGATTTGTTCACATCAACCAATCGTAGCCCTGGCTGGTGATGATGTCATTCTACCATGTTACCTTGATCCTCCAATCAGTGCCAGTTCTGAGAAAGTGGAGTGGACCAGACCTGGTTTAGACCCAAAGTACATCCATTTTCACCATAATGGACGACTGATTTATGACAATCAAAATCCATCTTATTTTTACCGAACGAGACTGTTTGTGGATGAACTGCAGAATGGAAACGTCTCCATGAAAATCTTCAGAGTGAAAATCTCTGATGCAGGAAAATACTTTTGCTTCCTTGAATCAATGTTGAAGGAAGCTTCCATCCAACTCACTGTTGGTAAGTCAGACTTTCTGAAGATGATGAATTACACATTTCTGCTGACTGCAAAGATCAGTAATGTAACTTTATATTAGAAGTAAGCAGCCATGATAAGACACAAAGAAAACAGTGCTGTAAGTTATTTGTTGGATCTGAATCCACTGTTTGAAATTCCTCCTCCTTCTCATCAGGTGTCGTCTCCACTCCCATCATAGAGGTTGTCTCCAATAACAGTGGAAGAGTAGTTCTACAGTGTGAGTCTAAAGGCTGGTATCCAGAGCCTGAGATGTTCTGGCTGGACGGTGAGGGAAACCTCCTCTCTGCTGGACCTACAGAGACAGTCAGAGGTCCTGATGACCTCTATACTGTCAGCAGCAGAGTGACTGTGGAGAAGAGACACAGCAACATCTTCACCTGTAGAGTCCAACAGAGGAAAATCCACCAGATCAGAGAGACACACATCTATGTTCCAGGTTATAAAGAGCTCTAAATATATTAAACACATTGTCACTGTTGAGCTCTAGTTTGATTCAATAACATCATTCTGTTCTCTCTTCTATCTTTTCATCTGATTCATTCACAGTTCAATCGTCTTCTCTTTGGATTTGGATCATCGGAACTCCTATTATCAGTGCTGTTGCGCTGTTCCATATTATCAATTTGTTAATATGTAAGTCACATATTTCCTTTTTTATTCCAAGTTACTGTCAGAGCTCTTTATTGACATACATACAGGCATAACAACAGTAACTAAGCAAACAGTCTGAAATGATCTTCACTGCAGGAAATTTGGGGAAAATGGAGGAAATAAAAGAAAATGTGTTGCTTTCAAAAGATTTCTCTCATTTGGAAATGTTCTGTTTATGAAAGTCACTGTGATGTTAAAAATATTCCAGTTCAATTATCATTTTTGTTCTTCTTGTGTCGTTTTCTCTCTTTCATTTCTCATTCATTGATTAGACAAAAACACATGAACACAACAACTTCAACACTTTCCTGTTTCTGTTGGCTCACAGGCACAAAGAAGAACTGGGACAAAGTAATGTCACAGAGGCAGAGAAGGATGAACAGCTGGATATAAAAGAGGCAGCGTTTGTGATTCCAACAAAGCCAACAGTGATGAAGAAACAGAATGCTGATGGGACTACAAGCAACTGGACAGAGTTCAGAGATCACAGTCAGAGGAAACATCAGGAGCAGGAAATAACACTGAAGACACTTTAAAACACAGAGAGACGCAGCGTTGAACGACTGGACTTTGTTTTCAGTCTATCAGATATAATATTCTTTATACTTAATACTGTGATCTTTTGCACATTCCAGCAAAAACTGTACATCTTTCATATAATATAATATAATAATTTTAACATCTAATAATAATCTTTATGTACTAAGTGCTTCAAATAGGACCACAACTTCATAACAACTTGATCATTTTGGTCATTTGTATTTAGAGAATCCAAACAACTTTTATCATGACTGCCAAATATTTACAGGTCCTTTCACTCAGTTAGGAATTAAAAACTCTATTGGACCGGACCCCCAGTCAGACTGACTCATAACACCCTCCCACCAGAGAGAGAGAGAGAGAGAGTATTACTGAAGGTGTCAAATCAATATCTTGTCATACATATTGAGTACAGTATTTTCTTGTTGTTGTTTATCTCCTCATTGTATTAATGAACTAATGAACATTATTATTGACTGAATGTAATCTGAGAGAGACATTGCACGGCCCTGAGTTACACTGTATTACCATTATGGTCAGATACATTTTATATTTACCAGAGATTCTGACATCAGAGTTTGAATTACATTGAATTTGATTGAAAGTGATTTTGTTTGTTCTGTACAGTCGACATCTATTGCATGTCTGCCTTCTCCCAGGACAGGCAGACATGATCCTCTATGGATCCTTCTGAGGTTGCTTCCATTCTCTCCTGTTAAAATGTTTTTTGAGGTGTTTTTCTTATATTACCTGAAGTGAGTGTCTAAGGCAGGACTACCAAAATGAAACTTAATGCGGATCAACAGGCTGAAAGCAAACACCCGTTGTATTGTGTTATAAGATGCAAAATGGTAAGAGGAAGTTCCCACAAATAAAACAGCATGAAATCGATTTCTATTATAATTATTTTAAAACAATTTTAAATATTTTTTGACTGGACACTTCTGCTTTGATGTAAAAAGCCAGGTGGAGCATAATATATCAGTGACTCATGTTTCATTCATTGTAAATATTGTAAATGAGAAGATTAATGTATGTATTAAGTTGCTGTCATCTACCAGCAGTATATTTTTTGGATGCAGTGGTTCAGTTTGATGCAATCAATTCCTCTAAGGATGTTTGCATAGATATGAAAAATGTTCTTGTTTCTGTCTTTCAAACTGACCAGAGAATTAAAACAGTAAAGTTGTGGATTCAATTCAATTCAGTTTTATTTGTATAGCACCATACCATAACAGAAGTTATCTCAGGACACTTTTCAAAATAGAGCTCCTACCATGAATAAGCACTTGGCAACGGCTGCAAGGAAAAACTGCCTTTTAAGAGGCAGAAACCTCGGACAGACCCCGACTCTAGGTGGGTGGCCATCTGCCTCGACGAGAGAGAGAGAGAGAGAGAGAGAGAGAGAGAGAGAGAGAGAGAGAGAGAGAGAGAGAGAGAGAGAGAGACAACAACAGTAGCAACAACTACAGAAAGTGTAAATAAGATGTTTGATTTCTGCAGGACAGTTTAAAGTGATTGGCTCAGACAAACCAGTTACAGTAATGGTTGGTGATAACGTCATCTTGCCATGTCACCTGCAACCTCGATACAATGTCAGGAGTCAAACAGTGGAGTGGAAATTTGATGGAAAATTTGTCCACGTCTGGCGACATGAGAGGGACTATCTAGATGATCAGGATGAGAACTTCAGAGGTAGAACATCTCTCTTCCATGAAGAAATGATCAGAGGAAACATTTCACTAAAACTGACCAACGTAACTAAACTGGATGCTGGAAGTTACACCTGCAATGTTCCCAGACTGAAAAGTCGGGTCAGGAAAGGCTTTATTAACCTCACTGTTGGTGAGTACTGCTAACATATTACACATTTAAATAAAATAAAATGTTATTTGTCACATTTTAAAGGTTTTTTAGCTGCTAATGTGGGGCCATTTGTATGTGTTACAGCTTAAACAATTCCCTCAAATTAAATTAACAACAAAAGTCATATTGTGCTTGGAAAACAGGAAACAGAGAAAAGGAAAATTATTGTTTGTAAGATTCAATGTAACTGTTTCATGGGTTCAGTAAGCAGATTTGTTACTCTGTATGTATAATTGCTCCATTTTCACTTTCTCCTCATCAGGTGTCGTCTCCACTCCCATCATAGAGGTCGTCTCCAATAACAGTACAAGAGTAGTTCTACAGTGTGAGTCTAAAGGCTGGTATCCAGAGCCTGAGGTGGTCTGGCTGGACGGTGAGGGAAACCTCCTCTCTGCTGGACCTACAGAGACAGTCAGAGGTCCTGATGACCTCTATACTGTCAGCAGCAGAGTGACTGTGGAGAAGAGACACAGCAACAACTTCACCTGTAGAGTCCAACAGAAGGACATCAACCAGACCAGAGAGACACACATCTATGTTCCAGGTTATAAAGAGCTCTAAATATATTAAACATATTGTCACTGTTGAGCTCTAGTTTGATTCAATAATGTCATTCTGTTCTCTCTTCTATCTTTTCAGATGATTTATTCACAGTTCAGTTGTCTCCTGAAAGGATTCTGATTATCGGCATTCCTGTTTGCATTAATATGCTGCTCATTATCACTCTGATAAAATGTAAGTCACATATTTATCTTCCTTTTTCATTCCAAGTTACTGTCAGAGCTCTTTATTGACATACATACAGGCATAACAACAGAAACTAAGCAAACAGTCTGAAATGATCTTCACTGCAGGAAATTTGGGGAAAATGGAGGAAATAAAAGAAAATGTGTTGCTTTCAAAAGCTTTCTCTCATTTGGAAATGTTCTGTTTATGAAAGTCACTGTGATGTTAAAAATATTCCAGTTCAATTATCATATTTTTGTTCTGCTTGTGTCGTTTTCTCACTTTAACACTCATTCATTGATTAGACAAAAACACATGAACACAACAACTTCAACACTTTCCTGTTTCTGTTTGAACGCAGATATAATAAGGAAGCAGAAGAATGAATAAAGATCCCAAAGAAGCAAAATGCAATTAAGGAAAGGCTTCTCATGATGGAACTGTAAAGACCAAAATGACCAGAGGGTGGCAGAAAAGAAGAGCGGAGGAAATCATTGAGACACTGGAGGATATTTTACAAATGTTCACATTTAACTTTAAGTTTCTGAGCTTTTTATTTAGCTTAGCTTTAGCTTAAGATTTAGCAATATTAGCACATTAAGTACATTTTATTCACAATGTACTAATACAACAGTTTATTTTGCTTTTCTTCAACATCCAGAGAGACTCTGTATCAATCAGTGTAATCCATTTTACACATAATGATCATTATATGAAACAGAAACATCCTTCAGTCTGCAGTGGATGCCAGAGAGCACTGAATGACTTGAGTGAACATTTATTTTAACTGAAAAAGTTAATGTAAGGTTTAAAAATCCATCTGTAAAATATGATTATATGAGTTATTTAAAGCTTTGAATGGGTCGATTAAGTTGTATGTAATATCTCTTCATGGGGCCCCTGTGAACAGACAAATAATGAACTCAGTAACAAATGTGCTGCAGCCTAACATTAACTCAAAGTGACTGAACAACTTACAGTTTTCTGTCAATTTTCAATAGGATGAAGGGAAACTTAAAAACTCAAGTTGTACTTAAAAAAAAACAGTTTATTTATAGATTTTCAGTTTACAGAATAAATTCAAACAACAGTACTTTGCACAAATTCTGTAAATGGGGCTCAGGTTTTAATGTACTTCTTTCTGAGAGCTGTTACAATTGTATCTCAGCTTCTTGTCCTTCTTTGAATATATATTTGTGTATTACATCAAAAATATTACGTCAGAGAAGATGCTGGTACAATATACTTGGATACAGTACAATACAATAATGCTCCTATAACGTCGCAGAAGAAAATCCATAGGGTGTCGGCACAGGAAATGAGGAAGGCTGTGAACAGATGTGCAGATGGAAAAGCAGATAACAGATAACAAAAGCTGGTGTTCATCATGGCTGACAGGATGATCCTACAAAAACATTTTCAACTCAACCATCATATTTCTGTTCTGCTTCTTTAGTTTCATCATTTTCACAAGTTTTCTGTTTCTTTAAGGAAAAAAACTGCATGAACACATGAATAGATTTCTTCTTCTGTTTGCACACAGTCTGCATGAAGAAAGACAAAAGAAACACTGAGACAGAGAGTCTAGAGTTATCTGGATTGTCTGGACAAACAGAGGAACTGGAGAACCAGAGAGCAACTGGGGAAGACAGAGAGAGTGCAGACCAACAGAGAAAACTTCAGGAGGAAGAAATAAAGGACTGTACACATCTGGAATGAGCAGGAGAAAGAGAGAGACAGAACAAACAAATAAGATACAAAAGACAGAAAACCACTAAAACCAAAAGTGACATCAGTAGAAAGACAGAAAGGAGTCAGGAGTCGGTGTGAAAATGGAGGAGACAGAGGAGTTGGAGAGGATACTTCAGAGAATGAAGAAGATGGACACAGAGAGGACGCCCTCATAATACAGCAAGAGACACAATTCATACAGCAAGGCAGCTTCAAAGAGTTCTTCATACAGTAAAACAAACTGATAGATGTGACTGGATCAAAATATGTGCACAGATCAGGAGTCAGCAAACTTTATTATAAAAGAGTTATTTTTGGTTTCATTATTGTGTGTACATATGTAAATATATAATTCAGTAACACTTTTTCATGTATATTTGGGAATCATTCTTTTCTGTATTTACATTTATTCAGTTCTTAATTCATCAAACTGATTTTAATTTAATCTTGGATTTAATGCTGAACTGATAAATGAACTATAACTGATCATATGAGCGCCGTCAGCTGGTTTCTGATTCTGATTATTCTGTATTCTGTGAAGAGGAACTGATCACTCATGATTCCTGTTTGTAAGACTTCCATAAGACTGCTGGTGCTGTCCTCTCACAGGAGGGCCACTTCAACATTCAAGTTTCCATAACTAACATCATATCAAATCAATGCTGCTGCCATGCTTATGAACCCTTCATGCACATATTCAGGCACCTTTGACCTTTCTCATCATTTTGTGCCAAAGAAAATAGATTTGTAAAAACAGAAATAGTATTTTTATTTTAATTCTATATGAAGGGGTGTCACAGACTGATATTCAACTCAAAATACTTTATTTGTCCCTCAAGGGGCAATTCAAGGCCAGCGAGTGTGCAAACAGAAGTACACATAGACAGTTTAATCAAATCTTGCGAGTTAGATTATATAGATTATATTAGATTGTATAATTTTGTGTTTGGTGTTACTTCGAACTTGTGACGTGTGGTAGCAGGAGAGAAAAATGTTTCCTCTTTTCTTTTTTTGTGGCAGAGCTTGGTTTCATTTGTGTTGTTTATTCATCACTCAGCACATTCTGGATGCTGTCTGACCGCACAGAGGACTCTTTAACATCGTCCCCTCCTCCATTCAGCTGAACCTGGTCTCACAGAACAAGTTCCACTAACTCAGACTCTCTTTCATTGACAATGCTGAATAATCTGTTTTATAAAGTTGTATCACGAATCCAGTGGAACTCAGTGTGGCTCTCTTTGGGGTACCTGTCTTCACATTGGTGATCCTGATAAGTGGTCTCATAAAGCTGGTTGTTAACTGGTTCAGTGAACTCTGAGTTTATCAAAGCAGCTACAAGAGTCATGGGAAAGAAGGCAATCTTTTTAAATTTGTTTCTGTGCAGGAAGAAGTTGTAATGTCTGTAAACACAGTATGAGCAGGACTAAACTTTATATGAAAACTACTCTAACAACCTGATTATTAGTCATTCAGTCAATGTTCAGTTACACCCTGTGGTTAAATAATACTGACTGAACTCAGCAACTCTGTGGAGAAATCAATAGAGGAACTCAAAGCCAGATTGAAACTGCCTGAAATTGGATAAAGTCATTGTACATCCTCATTTCCTGTCAGAACAGAACAACATCACAGTGGAGAGTTTGCATCCATCACGCTGTAAGTCAGAGTTTCTTTTTAAAGTAAAACTTGAATGTTAAATGTTGGATTTGTCATCATTTCATTCTTTGACTGTTATAACAATGTGCAGATTATTTTATGGACAAATTCTCTGTGTTGTTAATTGTGATATCATTATAGTCTATATAAAGTGGACTCACACTGTTACGTAGACACTGAGTCTGTATTTTTATATTGTTATCATTTATTTTACAAACCTTTTATTGAAAGCTTTGAACTCTATTTTTAAAGGAAAATAGATGTTCAGAAAGATTAAGAAAAGAAAATGTATATCACACATAATATCTGGTATTAATTGTTTCCACTAGTATATCTTTGTGATGACAACAGCATGTGACTGCGGGTTTGTACTTTACAGTCCATGAGGAAGTTAGATGAGGATGTGAGAACAACAGATCACAAAAACACCAAACCAAACAGAAACTAAAATAAACTCTAGAGTTTCTACCCTGTTCAACCTCATTTTCCACTAAATACATTTGTTTTTATTTATTTATTATTTTATTTTAAACAAGCAGACTAAAGGTTTGTGTCTTTCTTTATATTCAGGAGTCTACAATGCTGTATCCAAAGACAGAGCTCTGTGATGGACTGTCCTTCAGGACCTGCAGGGTTTTCATTATTCTTCTAACACAGTGTTTAACAGGTAATTTACACATAGAAACAGTCCAGTAACACATTGAGTGTGTGTGTGTGTGTGTGTGTGTGTGTGTGTGTGTGTGTGTGTGTGTGTGTGTGTGTGTGTGTGTGTGACAATATTTAGGATTTAGTTTTGATGCAGTTTTATTAAATGTTTTCTTACTTTTAGAAAGTTAAAATGAATCCATTCAGTCTGATGACATGTATTATAACTATACTACTGTTTCTTGTTTGTTCTTTAGTTTGCGTTGCAGAGCAGTCAGAGTTGATTTGTTCACATCAACCAATCGTAGCCCTGGCTGGTGATGATATCATTCTACCATGTTACCTTGATCCTCCAATCAGTGCCAGTTCTGAGACAGTGGTGTGGACCAGACCTGGTTTAGACCCAAAGTACATCCATGTTCACCAAGATGGACGACTGATGCATCGAATTCAAAATCCATCTTATTTTCTCCGAACGAGACTGTTTGTGGATGAACTGCAGAATGGAAACGTCTCCATGAAAATCTTCAGAGTAAAAATCTCTGATGCAGGAAAATACTTTTGCTTCCTTGAACCAATGTTGAAGAAAGTTTCCATCCAACTCACTGTTGGTAAGTCAGACTTTCTGAAGATGATGAATTACACATTTCTGCTGACTGCAAAGATCAGTAATGTAACTTTATATTAGAAGTAAGCAGCCATGATAAGACACAAAAAAAACAGTGCTGTGATTTATTTGTTGGATCTGAATCCACTGTTTGATATTCCTCCTCTCTTCTCATCAGGTGTCGTCTCCACTCCCATCATAGAGGTTGTCTCCAATAACAGTAGAAGTGTAGTTCTACAGTGTGAGTCTAAAGGCTGGTATCCAGAGCCTGAGGTGGTCTGGCTGGACGGTGAGGGGAAACCTCCTCTCTGCTGGACCTACAGAGACAGTCAGAGGTCCTGATGACCTCTATACTGTCAGCAGCAGAGTGACTGTGGAGAAGAGACACAGCAACAACTTCACCTGTAGAGTCCAACAGAAGGACATCAACCAGACCAGAGAGACACACATCTATGTTCCAGGTTATAAAGAGCTCTAAATATATTAAACATATTGTCACTGTTGAGCTCTAGTTTGATTCAATAATGTCATTCTGTTCTCTGTTCTACCTTTTCAGATTATTCATTCACAGTTCAGTCTTATGATTGGATTTGGATCATCATTCTTCTTTGCATCGATGTGCTCATCATCATCATTCCTGTTTGTATTATTGTGCTGCTCATTATCACTCTGATAATATGTAAGTCACATATTTATTTTCTTTTTATTCCAAGTTACTGTCAGAGCTCTTTATTGACATACATACAGGCATAACAACAGTAACTAAGCAAACAGTCTGAAATGATCTTCACTGCAGGAAATTTGGGGGAAATGGAGGAAATAAAAGAAAATGTGTTGCTTTCAAAAGCTTTCTCTCATTTGGAAATGTTCTGTTTATGAAAGTCACTGTGATGTTAAAAATATTCCAGTTCAATTATCATATTTTTGTTCTGATTGTGTAGTTTTCTCACTTTTAACACATTAGACAAAAACACATGAACACAACAACTTTAACACTTTCCTGTTTCTGTTTGAACACAGGCATTAGGAAGGAACCAGGATAAAGAAAATGAACTGACAGAGGAAGAAAAAGATGAACAGCAAGCTGTAAAAAAGGTCCATGATCGCAAGAAAGCCAAAAGTCACTAAGAAGCTAAATGCAGTTAAGAATTTATTTTAGATCACAGACAGAAGAAGAATCAGGAGCAGGAAATAACACTGAAGACGAGAGACAGAAGACACTTGAAAATACAGAGAGATGCAGCATTCAACGACGTTGAATAAAGACTTCCTGTAGTGATGGAGAACTAGAAAGTCGTAGAAAAGAAGAGTGGAGGAAATCATTGTGACACTGGAGCATATTCTTCATCTTTTTCTGCTCTACCCGGGTAGGCGGCTGTCAGAGCTCAGACGTAGTGGGTGTCGTCCACTAATCAGAAAGTTGGTGGTTAGATTCCCTCCAGTCGGCATTTTAAAGTGTCTTCGGGCAAGATATTGTACCCCAAATGGCTCCAGATGCTGCTGCTGTGCCGTGTGTGCGTGTGTGTGTGTGTGTGTGTGTGTGTGTGTGTGTGTGTGTGCATTAGTTACTTTCTGATGAACTTGAACCAACATAACCTCAAAATGCTGAAGCCGAAAGCAATGACAGGGCTGGTCTGGGTATCATTGGATAATCTGTAATTCATTTGTCATTTAAAAATGTCAATTTGTCTTTTATTTCATAAGAAAAAGGGTCTGATTTAGGTTTATGTGACCAAAGTCTAGTCACAGACAAAGGAAGACACAAGAAGTCCTGGCACTGTGCAACAGGTGAGGTTGAGACAGAGATACACTTTCTCTTAAAATCACATTTGAATACTTTAAAACATTTAATCCAACAATTCCAAACTTTAAAGAGTTAATCGACAATAACAAACAAAAGATTATATTGGGAGAGGGACATGCAGCAAACATAGAGCGACAAAATGTCACAAACTGAGGGACAGACATTAAAATATAATTACTGAATAAGACAAATCAATATCTTGTACATATGGAACACACACACATACACACACACACACATATGTTCTTTTCACCAGTATTTCCCTGTCCCCTATTCAACTGCAATTGTTGTTTTGTATTTAATTAATAGTTTCTTTATTAAATGTATTCTTAATGTTTATGTTTTCTTGATTCATTTTATTATTTTAATTCCATTTTTTTTAAAGAAAATTAAAATCATATTAAATTAAGAGAGAGAGTGTGAGAGTGTTTGTGAAAGAGTGTAACAGCAGTGGTTGTAGTCCAGCACAGACAGGCTGCAGTGATTGATGTTAATGTAGTTTGTGTCTGTTCATATGTGAACTGTGCTAATACTTACAAAGACACACAGTTACACTAGTGAATGTGTTACTCTGATGGTTTAATAGATTTTAGATGATAAATAGATGACAGGAAATCATCATGTATATTAGGCAACTTTTATTTTCTGCGTTTACAACATTTATTCACTCATCTAAAATATCTCTAAACATGAGACCTGATCCACATCAACTGCAGAGCAGAATAAACTGGAGACACGACAGGACTGTGTGTCACTTTACTTCATGACTCCTGATTTTATCCAGATGTTTTTGATCCAGGTGTTCATCCTCCAGGAGACTCAGTCAGTCTGTTCTTCATGTCTGCAGTTAACTGCTTCATCCTCTATCAGCAGCTCTCCTCTTCCTCTGCAGGAATATGTCTCCTTATGAACAGCCACAAGAAGGCGCAACAGGCTTTCTGACAGACACACAACTAAACACTCAACAGTGTTTACTTTATACCTCAGTCTGTATAAATGAGCTGACTTGTGCATTCAAATAGTTAAAGTGTTGGAGACCAAACCTCCCTCTGTTTAACCCCTGATGAGGGTTGAATCAATGAAAGGTCCAGTGTGTAACATTGAGGAGGATCTACTGGCACAGATGGAAGATAATAACTATGTTTTCATTAGTGTATAATCACCTGAAAATAAGAATCAAACCAACATTCAGGCTCTAAGATACGGCAGGTTTTACATTTCATATTTATCAGAGATTCTGACATCAAAGTTTGAATCTAAAGTGATTTTGTTTGTTCTGTACAGTCGACATCTATTGCTGTATGTCTGTCTGTCCTGGGAGAAGGATCCCTCCTCTATGGATCCTCCTGAGGTTGCTTCCTTTTTCTTCTGTTAATTGTTTTTTTGAGGTGTTTTTCCTTATATTACCTGAAGTGAGTGTCTAAGGCAGGAACTGCATGAAACTTAATGATGATCAACAGGCTGAAAGCAAACACCCGTTGTATGGTGTTATAAGATGCAAAATGGTAAGAGGAAGTTCCCACAAATAAAACAGCATGAAATCGATTTCTATTATAATTATTTTAAAACCATTTTAAATATTTTTTGACTAGACACATCTGGTTTGATGTAAAAGGCCAGGTGGAGCATAATATATCAGTAACTCATGTTTCATTCATTGTAAAGATTGTAAATGAGAAGATTCAGAATGACAATGATAAACTGACTATCACCATGGGCGTCGGATCAGGATGCAGGAATAAGACAGAAAACTTCAACCCTCTGAACAAAGTTTATTTTCTCTAAAACTCAAAGTTGCATTATGAAGGTTGCAAACATAAAATTAGAACTGTCACATGTTCATCTTAAATAATTCAGGATAAATAAAGTTCTCAGTTAAAGTAACATGAACACATAAGAACTAAAGAATAAGACAACCTCCTCTTACCAGAACTGCTGGCACATGCACCAATCAGAGCCTTTAAATCAGGAGTGATCAGGTGAACTCAGTCCGGTTAATGTGGAGTGATAACGAGAGCCAATCAGTGATCAGGTGATCAAGAAAAAAGGAAAATAAAGTTTATGACAAAGAAGTTTTGTATGATTACTGTGAACTGGTGATGATATCAGTGGTTTCAAGTATTTACAGCTGTGGCTGTTAACTCAGTGTGTCTGTAGTCAGACATATGAACACACAAACTGTGTTTTAGGCTTAAAAAGCACAAAGACAACATTGTTCATGGAGCCTCCAACTCTAAAAGCCACAAAACCTAAACTGTAAGTTAATATGAAGTCATAACACACGTTATCTGACTCAGAGTGGATGTGAAAGTACACGTTGTTTATCGGACCGTGCAGGTATTCTCAGTTGAGGCTCCCTGACACACACATACAACAATGTAGGATTTTTACATGAAACTCTTAATACATTATTTTAGTGATTCTTTTATTTATAGTGTGTTTCTAGATTAAGTCATCAATCTTCTTCTGCAGTATTGTGTCATACATGTGGCTACAGTAGTGGATGCTATGGTAATGTATTTGTGTCTTAACTGCAATGTTTGACGAATAAACAATAAAATCACATTGTTCAGGAGTTTATATAAACAACAAAACCACCACTGGGTTCAACAAACGTCTGAACAATTACAATCAGTGATTCCACTGCCTTCAAGAAAGTCTGAGACTCAGCTCAGTGGGTGTTATGTTATGTCGGACTTTTTAGATGGTTTGAATTGAGTCGACTTACTTACTCAGATGATTCACAAACTCATCTTGAAACCTGAGCTCAGTGACTTCAGTGCACATTGATCTTTTCTCACACTGTCACTCTTTCACCAAACACTCTTCTGGAGGTGAATTACACACAAACACATGAAGATAAATCACACTATAATGGTCTTGTGAGGACATCTACAAAAACACACTATCCAATAACTGTTTTATTATTTTTGTTGTACTGCACATTAACTGTGTTATTGTGCTGTAATTTACCAGCAGTATAACTGGTATGAGTTTGTCATATGCAAACATCTGAGGAATGGATTGCAGCCCATTTCACCACTTATTCCAAGTTAATGTCAGAGCTCTTTATTGACATAGATACAGGCATAACTACATTAACTAAGCAAACAAAAATTGAATTTAATTGAATCTGAAATTATCTTCACTGCAGGAAATTTGGGGAAAATATAGGAAATACAAGAAAATGTGTTAAAAATATTCCAGTTCAATTATCATATTTTTGTTCTGCTTGTGTAGTTTTCTCACTTTAACACTCATTCATTGATTAGACAAAAACACATGAACACAACAACTTCAACACTTTCCTGTTTCTGTTGGTTCACAGGCACAAAGTGGATCCTGAGGAATTTAATTAAACTGGAAGGAGATGTAACACATGGTGTGAAAGAGGCAATGTTAATGCTTGAAGGAAAGCCAAAAGTCCAGAAGCATAATGTAAATGTGAATGCAGCTCAATTTTTAGTGGATGGAAAGTAGCAACAGGAGGACCAGAGAGAGCAACTGGACAGAGTTCAGAGGTCGCAGTCAGAGGAAACATCAGGAGCAGGAAATAACACTGAAGACACTTTAAAACACAGAGAGACGCAGCGTTGAACGACGTGGACTAAAAAGCTTGTGAAGGGTCTGAGAACGAGGAGGAAATCATTGTGACACTGGAGGATATTCTCCATCTTTTCCTGGTCTACCAGCAGCGTAACTTCTGTATATGCAGATGATGCAGTTGCACAGGGGCCCGCAGCAGTTTAGGGCCCATAACAAACCACTGGTATCTGCAACGCTGCTATAATATTGATTGACGTGAGCTGAACCGACATCATGTGCAGCCGATGAATTTCCTGTTCATCCTGTACATTCTCCCCCTTGGTAACCTCATACGTCGTCATGGTCTCTGCATCCACTGTTATGCTGATGATGTCCAGCTCTACATCTCCACTTAATCCATAACCAACACAACCCAATCCACTCTGACACACTGCCTGACTCAAACTCAACTGTGACACATCTGAAATAATCTTCATCGGTCCAAAATCCTTCATCTTAAAACAGAAACAACTTCTGCTTCACCATTGACAGCACCACACTGTCTCCCTCCAACAGCAACATCTCCTTTGAACACCACATCAACCAAATCCCCAGAATTGCCTTCTTCTACCTGGAAAAACTAGACTATTGGAACAGGATCTTGTATGGTACATCCTTCAAAGTCTTTAAGAAACTTCAGTACATCCAGGGTTAGGGTTAGGAAACTAATCATTCATACACACTCATAGCAAAATGAGGTTTCAGTGTCTTGCTCAAGGACACTTCAACATGCAGTGAGAGGAGCCAGGGATTGAACCGCCAGCCTTCCGATTAGTGGAACGACTCACTCTACCTCTGAGCCACAGCCGCCCTGCAAAGCCTCTGCTCTTCTGAGACCAGCCTCCTGTCTCCACCACTGAGGACCAAGCACGGTCCCTGGGGTGAGCTGCCCCCTTCCATCTGGGACTCCCCAAAAACATCCGAGACTGTACCAATCCGTCCACTTTAAAAGCACTGATCAAAACCCACCTGTTCAGAACTGACTTTAATGTTTGATTCATTGTTGAGTGTTGTGTATAGATGGATAGATCTATATACACACATGTCAAATAGAAACTTCTGTTTATACTATAGTTTGACTGAATACTGAGACATCTGCATCCACCTTGCCCAATATGTCCAGCTAATCAACATTTAAATGCAATATCTGATCAATAATTTCACATTGCAGAGCTGTAACTAAACTTGACAGTGAGACTAGACAATTATTATCTTATTTTGAATTGATGTGTCTGTGAGGACTGCAGTCACCCCCATATATCACCAGGACTGATTCCAGACCTGTTATGGCTGTGTGAGTTCTCAGTTGACAGCAGGGAGTGGAAGAACCGGCTCTGTGGGTGAGGGCACTGACATTGAACACCTTTACCTGCAATGTGCAGGGTGAGGGTGGTGGCTGTGCTTTTGTTGGCTACTATTTTCTGTTAAATAGATGTGATCATTGTTTTAGGTTTTTTAACACCTTTTTTGGATCTTAATGAATCTTTTGTTAAGTGCGTCACAAGATCTCAGCCACTTTCAATCTGTGTTGTCCTGATTTCTCAACAATATCTGTAACAGATCATCAACAGAGGACTCTGACACAGACGGAGTTTGTGGTTCTTATTGCGGAGGGTTTTCACAAATTTACAGTTAACTCTTTCTGTAGTCAGACAGCTGACAGAGTACTTTATTTATGTCAGAGAGAACCAACATCACAGTGGAAAGTTTGCATTCCTCATTCTGCAGGTAAGAGTCATTTAAAACTTGAAGAT